TACGTATATCTAGTACTATTATACGTTAATACGTTATTAGATTATATCTAGAGTAAGATATTCTATATAAGCGAGGTATTCTAGTATAATAGCTTATACTCTAGCTAGATACTATTCTATATTATTCTTATCTCTCTAGTATATTCTATACTTATTATTATAGCACGCTATTTATAACAGGCTATTATAGTTAGTTTAGATTATCTTTACTATTTTCTTTTCTTTTAGGTATTCTTGCGCGAAGTGTTCTTTTTTACTACAGGTTAGGCATAGTTCTTTCTTAAAGTATTATGCCTTTTCTTTATTCTAAGAGGTTTGTTTCCTCTTCTATAAGGCCTTAACCTAGTCTAGGTCTATAGAGTCGCTCTAGAACAGAGTCTATAGACGTCTTGTTCTAATTATTAGTAGTATAGAGTAGTTTCTACTCTATTAACGTTCTAGGTTTCGTTTATATTAATAATTATTAATCTTTACTACTATTTCTATTATATTGCTTAGGTTCTTAGGTTAGTTAGTATGCGCGATGTTATTCTTAACTAACTTCTTTAGGCTCTTGTAGAAGAGTTCTGCTAGCGCGAGGTTATTCTAGTCTAGGCGAGTACTTAGCTACCTAAACGTTACTGCATACTAGAATACTAATCTAGTCTAGTATAGTTAGAATAGCTTTTCCTACGCTATTTTATACGCGTTAACTTCTCTAAACGTTTCTCTAAGGTATTTTATAAACCTAGTCTAGCTCTTAAAGATTTTATCTATAAACTATTATATTCTCTTTATATTTCTCTTATTTTCTAGCTAGTCTAATATATAGAGTTTAGCCTACGTAAAAGCTTCTTCTTCTATATTTATTATAGCTCTAAGAATCTTATCTTTGTTCTATAGAAATACTATAGTATTGTATTATAGGTAGAGTTCTATAGCTACTAGAAATATATTAAAGTTCTCTCTCTTACTATTAAAGCGTTAGAGTATAGTAATCTTAGTCTAGGCCTAGCGCTTTACTATAGCTAGCTCTTCTACTTATTAGATACTTATCTTCTAGAGCGCTATAATAATTTGTTAGAGTTCTATAATCTATTCTTTCTAGGTTAGCTTTCTTACCTAGGTTTTTTCTAACAGGGTTCTAACTATTAACATAATAGTTCTACTCTTTAATATTAGGTAGTTATTTTATTATAAGCTGTCTTCTTAACTAAGACTAAGGCTTACTTTTATAAGAGAAGGTAAGAGGTGTACTTTAGGCTAGAATTATTTAGTAATAAAGAGATAGAGGTAATAATACTATAAATTATAAGTCTCTATAGTAATTTAGTAAAATAAAGTAATAACTATAAGAAGCTATAAGAAGTAAGCTTCTTCTAGTTATATATATATACTATCTTAACTAGATTAGATACTAAGACCTAGTACTTATAGATTTCTTAAATTAGGTTCTAATCTATAGATTAGGTTCTAATTTCTCTAATTTATCTAATCTACGTTACGTAACTCTAATTATTCCCGTAACCTTGCACGTAATTCCTTATCTCGTAATTCTAGACTTAGCCTACCGTTTTCTCTATTCTAGCTAGTTAACCTTATTTTTAATTCTATAATCGTAATAATAACTTATAATTATAGTATTATTACGTCTACCTCTTTATTACTAAATAATTCTTGTCTAAAGTACACCTCTTACCTTCTCTTACGTAAGTAAGCTCTAGTCTTAGTTAAGAGAATAGCTTATAATAACTTATTACTTACGTAGTTACTAGAATTATTATTTTCTAATCTAGTAGCTAGCTATCTATCTAATTTAGGTTCTATAATCTAGTAACTCTAAGCTCTTACTTAGTTAGCTATTAAGTAGTAATAGTACTCTATTACTTATCTAATTCTATAAAGAGTAGCTCTAAGACTACTTCTACGTCTTAAATCTTACTATACTTATAGAAAATAGAAATAATCTTAATTATCTCTTCTTAGAGAATTATGTTAATCTTCTTATTCTTATAGAAAAGTATCTTATTAAAGGTTATATTTCTTATAGTAATTACCTATATAGTTAGTAAGATTTAAGCTACCTTATTTAACGTTAAAGCAGTGTTGCTATAGCGTATTGTTAGCGGTAGTATAGTAGCAAAGGTATAACTACTAGCGCTTATTTATTATAGTATATTTAATTAGTATACTAACTCTCTAGATGCCTAAGATTAACTTGTGTAAAGGCCGCGCAATTAGAATACTAAAGCCTAGCAGTTACTTCTAGTTAACCTTACTATAGTTAAAGTAAGATAGCTTAATTAGAGAAGACTTACTCTAGTGCACTTTCTTGCTAGATTTAGAGTTAAAGGTTAGCATATTAGTAAGACTTACGGCGGCAGAAACAATACTTAAAGTGCTACTAAGAGACGATAATAGCAAAGGTAAGAGACTATATAATCTTATAATAGTAGTATAGTATAGATACTAAGAAGATTTAAAGACTAGTTTAGTAATATTAAGAAAATTCTAATAGTCTATATTAAAGATGTAGTATAAAAGACGTGTAATTTATTTAGAAGACTTCTAAATAGCTACCTATAAAAGCTAAAGACGTAAGCTACTATCGCCTCTATAGATTGTTTTTAGATAGATTAGCATAACTATTCTAAATTCGAATATCTATAGCAATAGATAGATCTAGATAAATTAGCTAATACGTAGCTATCTACTTTTTATACTACTTTCTAGTTACTTCTAGGTGCCTTACATGCCGCTTTTACTTTAATTAGCTAGAGTCGTGCGAGAGTAACTAAAAGGCTACTTAAACGCGCCTTAGGCTATAAGAATAGAGAGCTCCCTGTTATATATTATACGAATATAAAAGATGCTCTATCTTAAAGGCATTCTTATTCTTCTTCTTCTTCTTATAGTATACCTAATGCACCTAGACACATTAGTATAACTTTAAGATGCTTGTAGCTAGTAGCATTAAAGCTATAGTTAGAAAAGTAAAATTAATATACGAAGGTACTTAGTAAGAACGAGGGCCGGTAGTCTATGCCCCTAATGTAGTGCTAGGTACGGGCCGAATAGCCTACTAGCGTGTAAACGGTGTAATTATAGCTTTTATTACGTAATAATATAATAGCGAGCCTAAAGAAGCTCTAGCGAGAGGGGATTACTATATAATAGAAGACTGTAAGAAGAGAAGAATAAAAGAGGCTACCTGTAGATTTTAATTTACCTCTAAACGCCTATTTTAGTAGAGATTTATACGTATATTTACTGTCTACGCTACTATATTCGGTGCTACTTAGGCTTATTTAGCCGCTATTTAGCTCTACTAGCTATCGTTCTTATTAAGCACCTCTATACTAAAATAGGTATACGTTTGTTCTAGAGCTTGTTAAGCGATGTAGATTTAAAGGTCTCTCGGCAAAGTTGCCGACTTACGATATTAATGTTGCAAAAGCACGACATAGTATATTACAAGCTAGTCCTTATTAGTATAGACTAAACACTAGTATTAAGCTCGTGCCTTTGACTATGTACTTTACCGGTGTAGGAGCTTGGCATACCTTGGACGGCACGTCCCGGTATGCAGTCCTTTCTCATACAGCGTCTTGCCAGCTCCAGTACCGTAGCCAGCATCTCTAATTGGAGTAAGTCTTCAAAAGTGGAGATAGAATTTAAAACGATCTTCGATTTTTAAGACCGATCCTTGACTTTAAGACGGAATTCTAAAATCCTTGCTGTCCAATTCGCTGATGGACCATGTCTAATCCCTGCTGGAACCCTGTTTGTCACGTCGGAGCTGTGGAAACAAATCCTTTAACGTCAAGGTCCCAAACCGGAGGTTGGGTGGGACCATGGGATACGAGGGAAGCGAGAGGACCACGTGGGGATGGGGCGGGAAGGAATGGGAACAGAATTTACAGGGGTATACAGTTGAGACGGGCACGAGCCACGAAAATCTCTTTTTATGATCCCTGTGTCGTACTGAAAGAGGATGGGGGGTAATAACTGCTAACTGGCTTCATGCCTACCTACCACAGGTCATATCAAAAGATCTAGTATTTACATCATCCGATCTATAAGACATGTGACGTTTAATAGTTACTACGGCTTAGGTTAGGGCAATGAACAAACTTTAATGAACGCGAAGGCCACAATACACAGCTAGGCACCAGTTTTAAAGGGTTAGGAGTGCGCAGACCTACTTTACTGACAAGATATGGAAGCGTACATCCTAATACCAGACCTCTGCCTTCTAGTACAAAAATCTATCAAACAAATACCCAAGCATCAAAAGAGTCCAGGCGCACGAAGACATGTAGGGTGAAGCATGGTAAAAGCTAAGCGTGAAACCTTAAAAGACGCATCTGAACACAATTGCATTAGGGCGGAGATATGCACCCTGCAAGCCGCTGCGCTACCCAGCCGTAGATCCATCAATACGTAGTACACACGGATCATCCGCAAAAGGGGGTCACCGCGGAGATAGTTTTGCAGCATTAACGAGATGTGTTGGCAGACGATCATCCTCGCTGACAGAGCTGCAGCTGCATTAGAAGCAGTGACCGCCAAGAGAGAAAAATGGTGGAATATGATTGTAATGGTCGAAGTAGGCGATTGACATGAAAGACATGGGAACAGGCGCATACGCCGCTGTCAACGGCGTGAAGAAGTGCTGCTTACCTTTACCAGCACTTAAGCACTACGCCGCCTTCAACGTTTTAAAGGAACAAACAGTGACGCATGAGGACGTCCCGAGGGAATCCATGCAGATGCTAAGGCCTCGTTCCATTGGAAAGCAGAGTAGAACTTTTTTTGAAGCAGTCTGGGGTCATAGGATCCTTCACCTGATTTTTCGTAACACATGAATACCACGGTGAAGGGTGCGTTTATGCGTTGTCGCATGGCCTGAGACTGTGTGTGGATGTACGGAAAGCTGATTGCCTCTTTGCGCTGGTCAGGACTGCTGGGATGTAAGAATTGTGGTGGTGCGAAGCCTGGGGTGTCTGAGCCACCGCGTGGCCCTTAATGCAGTGAATTCCGAGTGATTATCGCATATACCTTGAGACCAGAAAACAACCAGTGCAAGAAACGTGCCCTACTCCGGAAGAGCCCGCCGTTTTAATCTCCACATCCAACGTGTCGAGTCCCTAGCCCCCAGCCGCATTCACCTGGACTGTTTGAGTATCCACTCATCCTCTGCCAGCTCACCGGCGGAGCTGCGCTTTTCCGGTTCCCACCGTAGCATCTTCCGCATGAATCTTAGGAAACAGTCCCTTTCTTCTTTTTCATCTTCTCCCTGGAGAGATGTTTCCCTTTGCTCGAGCGGTGCTGATTCTGGAATGGGGATCCCCCCACAAAATTCACCTGCGAAAATGCGTCGTTAGCGAAATGAATCCACTAGAAAAGTCTGCTACCAACTATAGAGCACGCAACTCACCAGTAGCAGAAAAGAATTTGTTTCTTAGGTTTGCCCGGGCAAGTAGACTCGGCGGAGGAGGCCCAAGAAGAGCTATCATCTCAGCGAGATGGGCACGCCCCCGGTATGTCTCATGTTCCGGATCGTGGCCGGTGAATAGGTGCTCGCCTTCGAAGAGGTCCCAAACCTAGGAGTGAAAAGAGACGTGTCAGTTAATGCGCACTTATTCAAGCTATCGACACTTACCACGCATCCCACATTCCATATGTCAACGCTATATGTCCACGGAATATCCAGGATGACTTCTGGAGCTCTATAGACATTAGGCTGGATATCTTCCCGGTGCTCGGCCCCGTCATCTAGTGACACGGCCGAGCCGAGGTCACATAGCACAGGCGCACCGACATCTTTCGGCATGTTGAACTCGCGGGATAGGTAGATAGTTCTTCCATCAAGCTCTTTCCTCGGGCAAGGCTCCTCGAGCTCCTCCTGTTCGAACGCACTAAGCACGGACTCGTCTGCTCCAAGCAGTATGTTAGCCTCCTTGATATCAGTGTGTGCGACGTGGCACTCTCTGTGCAGAAGGTCCAGGGCCTGAAAGAGGCGCTTGAGCACAAATGCCACAACCGGCCTTGGTAACCTCCGCACGGGATTGCGATGTCTAAGATCAAGCACGCTCTCCCAGAGTGGTGGATGCACGAGGCACCGGTGCTTCCCCTCGGGGCCATCGACATCAAAGGAGTCGAGCAGCGGTCGGACGGCACTGCGGCCTGGGGAGTTCTTGGGGGTGCTCTCGATGCGCTTGTAAATGTTGAGCTCGTTGTCCAGCTCACTCCCCATAGACTCAGCATTGATGAAAAGCTTGAGAGTGACGTGCCGACATTGGCTAAAAAGTAAAAAACCGAGTGAGCAGGCGCCATGCAGGGAAGGGAGATGCGTCTCACTTTAGATCCCGTGCTAGCCACACGGTTGACGTGGCTCCAAACCCCAGTTTTCCCACGACCTGATAGCGCTCCCGGAATGTTTCGCCAATCCGAACAGGATAGTATCGTGACGCGACATAGTCCGGAAGGGTCTCCTCTTCGATCTTCTTGTCTACGGGAATAGGGACGAAACCTTTGTTGGGAAAGGTAAGCGGCTTCCACGAGCGACCGAAGAGCGGCCTCCATGCACGGCTGAGAAGCGACATCGCCATAACCGTTGTATGAGGCGTGCTGGCAACAGTAGATATTGTGTCGGTTATTTCGAGGGCAGAAGGTCGGAGGTGGATTATGAGGTGGAAAGGGGCCCCGCCGCTCGCGTTCAGTTGATTGGTACCAAGCGACTTTTCGCATAAACATCGGGCGTGATCGAGATGGCAAATCCCACCTACATCAGGCCAGAGCGTGAGCAGGACATCCACTCGACTTTCTTTGATGCAGCAAGAGGTAGGACGATGAATCAAATATGTGATTTTGATGGCTTGTGGTCCCAGATGTCCACTCTGCATCATTCAAGTGTTGCTCGGCTAGGCCTGATATAGAAAGCGGCGCCAGCTCAGCTGTCAGTGCAACCAATCAGTACCCCGCTAGTGAGACGAGAATAGCGCAGAATTACCAACGGGTCTCGGCACGTCCTTCCTCCACGTGACTCACTTTTCTTTGTAAGCACCGGTCCGGCAAACGTCACGTGGAGGAAAAACGTGCCGAGGCCCGGAGGTACGTACCAGCCACAACGCTTAATTGGACGAACATCTGAGTAACGCTAAGATAAACTAATATGCCTACTCCTCTACTCTACTATAGGTAATAGCTAGAGTAATACTTCTTTAAAGGTATATAGATACTATATAGTATCTCTACTTCTATCTTTATTCTTCTTAGTACTATATATTTAATAATTATATATTACTTTAGTATAAAATAGATTAGATAATAGTTAAGCTTATATATATTTAGTACGTATATTAATTTTAATATATAGAGCTAATTATTTATAAATATTTAGAAGGTGTAGTAAGTAGGTTATATAAAAAAAAAGATTTAGTAGGTAAGCTCTTATAGTTTACTATAAAGCTAATAGAGCTATATACCTAAAAGGTTCTATAAGTAGAATATTTAAGAAACTAAACTCTAACTTTAAGCTATAATACTTGCTACTCTAACTCTAGCCTAAGTAGCTATAGACCTAACCTATAGATAACTTATTATAGTTATTGTTAATAAAATTAAACTAACTACCTAAATTAAACATAACGCGTAGAACAAGCTTAATATCTCTAGCCTAAAGAGTAACACGCTTTCTATAAATATAGGTAAGATTAGTAGCTATAAGTAGGTTAGACTAATATATAGACTAATACGTATAATAGAATATATACTTTATAGAAGAGTATATAAGAAGTCTTTAGTTAGTATCTAGAGAATACTAAGTATATTAGCCTGCTAGCGTATATTAGTCTTATACTTAGTACTAATTTTATAATAAAGATAGTAGAATAGCGTTATAAGCGTAAGAGTACTAACTATTCTTTAGTAGTACTTAATCTCTTAAAGAGCCTATACTTTAATATATTAGTAAATTATATATAGAATTTAGAAAAATAATAATATAGGTACTTACTACTAGGCTCTACGCGGTATATCTTAGGTTCTTTAGACGTAGCTTTATAATAGATTTAAGCGTAAGGTGCTTTAATATTATAGCTAATTGTCTTCTAAACACTAGCACCTATATTAGCCTTATAAGTCTTCTTTTACTTTAACGTCTTCTAAGTCTTTCTATTCTTACCTCTAAGAGCTAAAAATAGTTAGTAAGGCCTAATACGTAGACTAATACCTAACTAACTAGTATTTACCTAAGTAGGTTTCTTTCTTAGTATCTTAGTAGTAATAGTACTATAAGAGCTACTATTACTATGACTACTATAAGTATGAGCTATACCTCTACGCGTAGGTCTAGCTAGATTATAATAGATAGTTAAAGAAGTTATAGTAGCTAATAGAGCAGGCCTAGCAAAACTATTAATTAGAGAGGTAAAAGCTTACTTAGCAGAAGTAACTAGCAGAGCAAGTCTAGATAGTAAAGTAAAATTAGGCGGAGAAGTAGACAGATAACGTAGACTAGAAGATAGTAGAGAACGCAAACTAGAAGATAGTAGAGAACGTAGACTAGAAGATAGTATAGAAGAAGTAGCTAGTAGATTAGAATTCTCTATTTAAGACTATAGAGCTAAAATATCTAACCTAGTAGAACTCTCTAGTGTAGAAGAAAGTGTAGAGAACTTAGACTAGATTTTCTAATAAGGTTAGTAGAGGTTAAGGCGTATCTAGAGCTTTAGACAAGGCTTCTTAACGCTTAGCTTTTCTATATTATAATAACGTAGAATAGAAACCTAATATATAGGTAAACGTGTTAGAATAGTAATAATAAGTATAATAAGAAAAGTTAAATTAAAAAGTTATAATAAAAAAATAATAATAAGAGTAAAAAGAAACTTAAGTACTTATAAAATAGTAGAATAGAAAGTAAAGAAAGGTATTAGTTAAGCGTATTAGCTTATAATAGCTAAAATATTACTTTACGTATAAAATTTACTAAGTAGAGTAGTAAGAAAGTATAGTATAAGAAAGAAGAAAATTTTTAGAGATTAAAAAGTTAAGGTAAAGATAGCGCGCTAAAAATTACGTAATTACGTAAGTATAACGTTATTACTCTACTTCTATAGTATAAGCTATAAAATTCTCTTATCTACCTATAAATAAATAAAATTTTTAACTTATAAGTATTATAAACTAGAAAATCTATAACTTTTATTAAATATTATACTAATACTCTTTTTTATACTAATACTCTTTTTTTTAGCTCTTATAGACTAATACGTAGACTATTACGCTAATTATAATATAGCGCCTTAAAAATTATAAAAGAAAGAGAAAGAGTTATCTATAAACTATAATACTATTAAGAACTAACAAATACGTAAAAAGAAATAAGATAAAGAGTTCTAAGTACTACTAGATAAGAATACTACTAATAAGTACTACTTAGACTTCTAGAGAGAGAAGTTTATACTAGTAGCCTAATAGAAGATAGATAAGAAGAATAATAAGGCTAAGAAAGACTAGCTTATAAAAGAGCTTAAAGTATAGTCTAAGAATATTACTATTAATTATAGGTAAGTACTTATAGGTATTAGTCTATATATTAGACTATATAACTAACGTTCTATAGGTTCTCTACTAGTAAGTACTAGACCTAGTAAGTAAAGTCTAGAAATTCTAGTAACAAATACCTATATTAATAAACCTTCTACGTACCTATATAGCGTGTGCATAATATTAGCGTTAATTTTAACTCTTTAGAGGCGGCTATTAATTTTAATGCTACTGCTTAAACTATTCTATTCTTAAACGATAATAACTAGAATACTATAGATAAGAATAGAGATATTAAGATAAAAGATATAATAGAAAACGTAGAGTTTAATTCTATAGTAATAGCTAAATTCTAGAAGAAGACTACTAAGTTTATACTACTACGTGACTCGCGTATTATCTAAACTAAATAGAGAAATATAATTAATAAGGTTAGTTAAAAGCTTACTACGCTTAATAATTTTAGCTAGAAGGTATATATTCTCTATATAGAACTATAAGCTATTCGCGTAAGTATAAATATAGCTCTCTAAAAAACTAATACGTTAACTAATATAATATAGACCTACTTTAACTTTATCTATTCTAGCTCTAAAGTACTAGTAGATACATTAAGTAATATTCTTAACTAATAGAATAGAGTAAGTAGTAAGGTAGAATATAAATACACTATAGGTAAAACTAATAATATAAATAAGGTTAAAATACTTTATTAACTCTATAAACTTACGCCTAAAGATAAAGATAGTTTTAACTTTAATCTAAACTCTAACTTGCTGCTACTATAGTTCTATATACTATTCTCTAGCGTAGAATAAGTAGTTATAGCTCTAACTTTTTAATATTAGATATAGAGGCTATATACACACGACGAGATTAACCTAGTAGAAGAAGGTAAAGCACTACCTCTTCTAAAGCTATTTAATAATTACTACCTAACTAATTATAAGTAAGTCTAGTATTAGTCTAAGTATTAGACTGTTACTAACACCGCAAATATAGTATTACTAAAGAGTTTCTACTAGAAGAACTTAATAATAATAATGCTAAGTATATACTAGAGTAAATATTAGAGGTTAAGGTAATAGTACTCCTGTATATAGAGTAATAAATTCTACTAAGAGATATTAGAAGGCTAATAGCAATGCGCCTAGATATAGAGAAAGACTAGAGATTATAAGGGCGAAATCTAGACTACTAAGGTATTAGGTAGTATATTAGGCTAGATTACTAAGGCGGTTATACCCCGTATATAGAGTAATAGATTCTACTAAGAGATATTAGAAGATTAGAGATTATAAGAGTAAAATCTAGACTAACAAGGTATTAGGTAGTATATTAGGCTAGACTACTACCTAAATTAAATATCTATAGCCTAAACCTGTTGCCTACTTTACTACTATATATTCGCCTTAATATTTTTAGAAGTTATTAACTTCTTCTACCTTAGACGCTAGAAGCTAAAGAGCTTATTAAACATAAGACTCTTAATACTCTTAACCTAAGACACTGCTACATATAGAAGACTAGAAGTATAGTCTCTAGTACTACTTATATAGATTATAGCCTTCTTAAGACTAAGACCTTATAACTTATATATAGTTATAGCCTATATAAAGTATAAGAAAAACTAAACCTAGAAGCTAATAGCGTAGTTATAGTAGAATTTCTAGAAAATAAAAAAGATAGAAATAATAACCTTGCTATTAGTACGCGTATATAGGCTAGAACTACTATAATAGTTAAAGGTAATAAGAATAGCTAGTAGCGCCTTCTTTTAATAGTCTTGTATAGTAGGCGCCTATAAGATACTATTAACCTTACTAGTAGTACTATTAATAAGACTACGCTCTATCTAAATATTATAGAGAAGTATAAATTAGGCGCTAACGTAGATAGATAACTTACTAGGTAAGTTGCTAGCCTTCTCTATAGATATATATTAAAGTTTCTTGTAATTATACTTAGTCTAGGCTATAAGAACTAGCTATAAGGTATTCTATATAGAGGTATAGTTAATAATAGCTACTTCTACTTAAGTACTATATAAGTAAATAGTAGAGCTAAAGTTCTAACACTTACGCTTAGTAAGAGTAGTCTAATAGCGCTATATAAATAGAC